AATATGTCAGCTTGCACTCAGAATGGCGCCTTCTGTGCAGCCCCTTCGTGTCGCTGTTCGGGAATCAAAGTCGAAAAATATTGGCCCAAAAAAGGGCATTTGTTTTTGGCTTTTTTTTTTTTGGCTTTTTTTTTTGGCATTTTTTTTCAGCCCTCAATGGCATCTTCCGCGTCCTCACCCAGCCACTCATCCGTCTGCTCCTCCACCCCATCCTCTATCTCATCCTCGGCCGTAGCCTCTTGGTACTCTGCCACTGGATACTCAAGGCTACCGATCGTACCGCTCAGGTTTCCACCATACAGGCCGATCCACTCGTCCATCTTGCCAATGGCATGCTGCACCAACTTTCCACAGTTGGCTGCCTTCCACCCCCCCTCCTGACCGTCCCATTCCGGGTCTCCATACCAACCGAGACGGATTTGCTTCCAGACATCCAACATGTTCCGCCCCTTCTCAAAATGAATGCTCACGTAATGCTTGCCGTGCTGCCAGAACAGCTCGATCGGCTGGAAAGTCGGCATGTACGGCGGTGTCCAAATTAACCCCCACCCCTTCTCCCTCATGTACGTCTCAGCCTTTTCCTCGAGCTTTTGTGGAAAATTCTTTTTGAAGTACGTCCGAGTGACGGAGGCTATCTCTTCTTTGCTGACGCCGTTCTTGCGGTTCGCATTGGGTAGCGACCCCTGCGCCGGGACCTCAAAGTTGTACTCAGCAGCCTTACCCTCCGACTCACGCGTCACCTTGAACGACGTGCAACCGTACTTGCGCAAGAGTTCGACGTTGTACTTCTTACTGTTGGTTTCGGGCACCTTAACCTCCTCGTCAAAGCAGTGGTGGTATGAGGCGTTATCGAGAACGAGAAACATCTTCTTGTTCTTGAACTGCGCATCGAAGGCCGGGGTAAGTCGGTGCTTCAACCACTGCATGAACATCCCATCCGTCATGGCGTTATGATAATCTCCGGTTGCCAACTTGGCCTGCCACAGAAATTCTGCTGTCTGCTCATCTGACATTTCGAAATCCGCCTCGCCAGGCTTAATCTTCTTCGCACGATTTTCCTTAGCCTTGAACCAACCCTCACGGATAGGAAATCCCTCCTGTAGCTCGGCCAAGGGCCCGTGCTTCGTGATCGCATGCACCATGATCATACGCAAACCTTTCCCCGTTGTACGGCCTATCCCATCCTGCACAACCCCCGTATCGTCAGAAGGAAAGTACGAGTACGCGGAACCATGCGCCTGGTGAACAAAGCTCTCATCCATGTACACAATGACTGCGACCCCAGCGTCCTCGGCCCTCTTCGCGAGGTCCATCTTAACAAGGAAGAGGCGGATGCGGTTTTTCCTCTCCTCGTTCAACGGGGGTATTTTGATCCTACCCCTACGGCGCTTGAAGCCAAGGCGCTGCAGCAACCCTCCCACGGCACGATTCGACATCTCTAATCCGAACGAACACTCCAAGTAATCCTTGACGGTACGGCGGAAGACCTGACGTCCCGCCTCGTGCTCGCCCTTGATGAACTCGCGCAGTCCATCCTCTTGCTCCTTGGTGATGACACGTCGCCCGTCGTCGACGCTGGTGGCCTTGCCTCGCCCCTTCCCGTTGGTCTCGTACAACTCCTGCTTGTCATACCAGAGTGTGCGAACCGCCAGGACCTTGTCCGTACCGATCCTCAAGGTCTTCGCGACCTGATAAAGATGGGTCATCCACACAGAGGGAGGGTGGGAAAAAGTTTGTAAGAATACAGCAGTGTATTGCGTTGCAGTGTATGGCGTTGGTGTACGAAAGCCGGTGTTAAAGGGACGGCAGAGTGTAGACAACGTACAGCGCACGCGAGGAGAATGGTGGTGCCATGCACATACATTCCTTTACATTCAGCGGTACAAAGCGCTGCTGTAACTGCTGTACTGATACATTGCTGTACAGCTGGCAGCATACCGTTATACATACCACTCAAGTATTGTACAGCAGTAATGGGCATCAGTACAGCAGTGCAAGCAATGCGACGATATGGGCCGGCAGCGGTACTGGCATGATGTCAAGCACTGTTGTTGCTTGTACAAAAATCTTGGGTGGGATGTATGTATATGCATACATACATTTGTACCAAAAAAGTACATGGCACTGCTGCTGTAAAAACGTAACAGCGACATGCGTCTTTATACTGGTATTTGTACGCAACAGCCATGTTTCTTGGTTCTCACCTGCTCCTTTGCGTGGTTCTCAGAGCTGCCTCCTTTCACCAGGTCGAAGTACAGCATGAGAATAATCCGCGACTGCTGCAGGGTGGTGAGCTCTCCAGTCTTGGGCCTCAGTGATTGCACAGAGTCCTCGACAAACTTCAGCGCGAGAGGGGGAAGCTTGGAAGTCGCCGCTTCAGCAGCCTTGCTGACACGATCCTGCTCTCGCCGTTCACGCTGCTGTTGAAGCACGTCTGACCTCGCGATGTCCCGCGCGAGCTTCTCCCGATCCCTGGCCACTGACGCCTTCATGGCCTTTACCTCTTCTTACTTGGCCGCGAGAGCTGCTTCGGCAGCGGCAGTGGCCGCCTCTCTTTTCTCCATATCATCCAGGCGCTTGTTCATAGCCTTTGCATTTCTCGCGGCCGCAGCGTTGGCCCCCTTGATCGCTTTAGGTGGACGGCCGCTGGTGCCTCCTGTCGGTACCCGTCTACCACGCTTGGTCATGGTGGGTGCTGGATTGGCCAGGTGCCTGGCGTGGACGGCGAGTTGCTCTACAACGGCCGGCTCATGTTCAAAAACATTTTTGGCGTTGTACGCGCCATGTTGAGCAGTTTGCGTTGGGTTCTATTTTAGAACCTAACTTTTTTTCCCGAACCGCAACAAGTATGCCCGCTTGAAAATTGCTGCCATGAAGTGCCCGCTTTTGGCGCCGTTCACTTCATGCTGTGACTGTTCGATGGGCATGAAACCAGCGCCATTCGACAGCTGATGTAACAGGCTTTCTTTTGAACCCACCCAGTGTATGTGTTGCTCGATTATTGCGTGCAAAAGTTGCAAAAGAGTGTGTGTTTTTCTATCAACTTCGCGGGAGAGAGCATTTTGACAGAAATTTTTTTTTTTGAGAGAGAATGGGAAGTGCCCAATTTGGTCTTGATTATTGTGTTCCACCGTAATAGTACCTTACCGAACACGCCCTTGATATTTCACTACTACACTCATTTTTGGCATTGATACTGCCATCCTTTTTGGCATTGGTACCTCTCAAGATTGTGGAGCGATCGGGCTTTGCCAATTGGTCAGGGGAGGTGCGTTCTTTGCGAGCTTGCTGCACGGGAAAGAAAAGACCGACTGATTAATACTTTCAAGTCAAATGATTGGGCATATATCTATTAGTACATTGATTGGATGGATGGATGGATGGATGGATGGATGGATGGATGATCAGGAGGAGAGAGGCGGCGTGTGGCTCTGTGCAAGCTGCTGCTAAGGCGTCCCGACCTGCTGTTGCTGGACGAGCCCACTAACCACCTCGACGCGGAGAGCGTGGCGTGGATGGAGGACTTCTTGAAGTCGTTCGGAGGCACCGTGGTGGCCATCACGCACGACAGGTACACACACAGATATTTGTATATGTGCTGGTGTGATAGCGCTGTCGTCCCGGACATCACGTTCCATCCTATGATCCAGATTGTCGCGAAGCGCAACTCATGTGCGCACCAAGACGGCGTCCCAGTATTCCAGAGCTTGGTCAAGACGACTCGTGGTGGAAGCCTCCCCTCATCCTCACGTGTATCGCCATTTTTCATGTGCATCGAACACAGCGAAGCGTGTCGACGATTTTGCCGAAGCTACTTCTATATCTCCAATGGGGATCGTCGAAAACGGCTTCTGTCGCTCTGAACTAAGTCATCGAAAGATTCTGCGGTATGTTTATCTTGCCTGAGTGGTCGAAGTGGTTTCGATGTCTCTTACGAACCCACCGAATCGGCTTTGATTCCTCCTCCGCGCGAAGGTACTTCTTGGACAACGTGGCCGAGTACATCCTCGAGCTGGACCGTGGGGAAGGCTTCCCTTTCAAGGGCAACTACAGCGGATTCCTGGAGAAGAAAATGGCCAGGCTTGAGCTGGACGCGAAGATCGATACCAAGAAGAAGGCGTCTCTGAAGAAGGAGCTAGAGGTGAGTGAGACTTGTTTGGGCTGGGGG